CAAACGCTGACTGCACTTTACAAGTGTATACGACGGACGATTAGGCAATAAGAGAAGTAAAGAAAATATAGTATCGAACAGAAAATGAACCATAATTATGCTTTCATTAAACAAATGCACATAATTTGAGCGCTTAACTTGAGGACAAGTCTGATTTCGTACGGTAGTAGTTTCTTTTTATCGTCGAGTGCCATCAGAAAAGAAAACGCCGCCGTCGATGGCACAATACTTGGGACATATGCCTTTTTCACCCCGTGGACCCATTGGACCTGCTGGACCCTGTGGCCCTGGCAAACCATCTTCTCCTTGAGGACCTTGAGGGCCCGTTTCGCCTTTGGGACCCTTAGGACCAACTTCTCCATCTTTACCTGGTTCACCTGGTGGACCTTGTGGACCAGGTTCTCCGGGTTCTCCTTGATCACCTTGTTCGCCTGGAATCGCTGGAGGAGCAACTGCTGGCACACCGGGTTCTCCCGGAGGACCGTCCGGACCTTGCAGGCCAATATCACCTGGCGGTCCTTGCGGACCCGGTGGGCCGGGAAGTGCATCTGTACCTGGTTTGCCGGCGTTTCCTGGCTCTCCTGGATCTCCGGGTTGGCCTTGAGGGCCTCTGGGTCCCGCCGGCCCTGGAGGACACTCCTTACATGGTGGTGGAAGTAGCTGTTCGCATGGTGCCTGCGGAGGGATTCCGGGCATACCTGGCATTCCGGGCATGCCTGGCGTACCGGGCTTTCCAGGTCGTCCTGGGGGACCCGGAGGACCGGGAGGTCCTGGAATGCAGCAGTCGTCGCAACTGGAAGACACCGCCGAGTCACCGCTGCTCACCTCGCCGGTGGACAGGATACTCGGGCCGTATCCGTCAACGCTACGGCGCGTTCGGTTGGCGTCGACCGCCACCGGAATCGTCTTCAGATGATGAACTTCTGCAAAAATGTCCTTCGTCGATCCTTTACAGAATTTAATTTCGTGGCTCATCTGAACACGGACGTGCTGCACGTAGTTGTACGCCATGGGCAGTGTGATGCAGACGGCCAGCACCGCCGACACGCTGAACACCACCGACGAGTAGGCGACGAACTTGTACGCCTTCAAACGACCGTCCGAACTGTCCATCGTCGTTGTGGTGGTGGTGGTGGTCGTCGTCGCTGTCGTTGTTCTCTCCCTCCTGCTCTTCTTCGACTTCGAACGTTTCTTGTGCTTCTACTCGACTTGCGACTTCGGCTTGCGCTATTTCTGTGACTGCCACTCTGACAACGACCGCTAGTTGGTTAGTCGAAAGCAAGTGCAATGCGCCGTCGCTTGGCCAGCAACGGTTATATAAGCGAGCGAGTTCTAAATTCTGCCAACCTACTTTCGCGTTTTACCTATTTTGGGTCGGTTACATCAAGCTGTGTAAACGTTTTGCCAGGTCAGCGTCATTTATCTGTCGAAGTGCACCAATTTCAGTCATCTGAAATAATACAACTGCAAGGAATGCGCCGGTGGCTGAATCCCGGCAAGGAATCAGCAAACCGGCGAATCGGCCAGTCGGTAAATATTTGGTTTCATGCGCCTTTGTTTCGATTCGATTTCAAATTTTGACGCCCAGGTCGCGCATCCGAGCCGATGCGACACGATGTGATGCGACGCCGTTGCTAGCCATGACCATAGTCAGGGGGACAAGCGGGTTGGGCGTCGTCGACTAACTGGTCTTACGCTGCCTACCCACACACGACACACGGCATGACGACGACAGACACATAGCTCGACGAGACGAGACCAGACCAGACGAGACGACTGTTAACGATCACATTAAGAAGACAAAACATTTCACTGTCACAATTTTCCACGACACGACACCCTGCATCACCGGTGATCACTAGCCGTTCAGTGGACACTGCGTCTGGCAGTGACTTCCGTGACGCAGTTGAAGAACTGTTCTAGCGCTGACGACCGAGGTCAAGATCGTCGCGTCTTCGCTAGGGAGAAATTCCGCAACGTCCACGGTTTGTAGACGGCTGCCCTAACGATGGCTGATGAATGCCACCGCAATATTATCCAGCAAGGCGCCTGCGAGGCATTTGAAGAACTCACTGGTATCGTCGATTAGCGAACCAGGAGATGTTCCATGCAACTAACGTGCAAAGTGTGCGTGTGCTGCGAGACAGACGAATTACTTGGACTTCACAGAGCAGTGACCAAGGACTCATGCTGGAACAAGGAACATTGCTAACTCATATTCTCTTGTGGAAACCTAGTTACGGAAGCTGCCCCACGGGTCTCACGCTGAACGTTGATGAAAGATCATAAAGGCAGGTCCGCAATAAATTTGTGGACATCTCCTATGCCGAAACAGTGAACAGTGTCTAAAATCGTACTAATCCGCCTGCGGACAGCATGGGTCTAAGCGTTGCAGTCTCTGGTACACATTACAAATGATGATGACACTCAACTCCGTTTGACAGATAAATAATAGCATGTCTAGCAGGCGCACACAAAGCTTGATTCAAAAGTCACACCCAGTTAAAACTTACTGTGGAATATTCTAGAAGATAAATGCGAATGTCTTCAAATCGAGTTCAAACACGCTAAGGCCACAATTTTCGTTAGCTTAGCACGGTGGCTTTCTGGCCAGTTATTATAACGGTTCAGCTACGTTCGTTGCTTTTGGTGTTACCGTAAGCTCGCTGTCTGAGGGATGGCGTCTAGGAGAGAAGTGAACTATGCTAAAACACTGAGCTCTGCGTAGCTCTGTTATAAACAGTACAATTTGATTCAGTTATCAAATGTGTGTCGTACTTTGCAATAGCGCCAAGCATCATGCTTTCTAAACAAGGCAAGAAACTGAACACCCAAAAAAGCTCTTATTGGGCTTTCGATCGTCTTACCTTGTTGTTTACTGTCTTTGGCCCGGTAGTGAGTTTCAGAACTTATGTCTGTGTTTGTTGTTTACGAAAAATTATTCCTACTGCAGGTAAATCTCAACTGATCGTCCAGAATTAAAGTGGAACTGTTGTTGACAAGTGGGGTCCATGATTGGCGCGCGAACGATGGGAAACTGACTGACTGTTCGGATCTGTTCTCTTGACCGTCGCAAGAAGTGCTTGTTGCCATCAGAAGAATGCTGATCCAACGGTGGGTCTTCGTTTTGGAACGCGTTGTTTGTTTACGTGCGATCAGTATTAGAGCGGAAAGAGACAGCTCTGCGACACAATCATCTTCGATTCCTCGCATCAACGAGCGTGGTGGACACAAGTGTCGACCTCGATTCTATATCACCATGCATTTCGTCGCTTGTTTGTCATCCGTCCATTAACAAAGGTGTCCATCGCACTAATTACATATCACTTCAATTTGACGTCCGTCCGGTGGTATGGCTATCCTTTCTTGGAGACTCTAGCGACGACGATGACCACCCAACGCGTGGAACACCGCCAGGCACTGGATAACGGCGGGCCGCTTACCAGCGGTGATTTCCGGCTGTTGGCCCCCCCTTCC